GATTTTTATACAGTTACAGACTTTTTTGAGAATAATGGCATATTTGAAAAGTTCCAGTCTGGTTTTAAGACACACCACAGTACCGAATCAGCGCTGTTGCGAGTATTTAATGATCTTGTTTTTACTGTGGATGAAGGTAATACTGCTATTCTGATTCTCCTAGATCTTTCAGCTGCTTTTGACACAGTAGACCATCGTATTTTGTTATCCTGTCTGCAGCACTCTGTAGGACTTCATGGTAATGTTCTTAAATGGTTTGAATCATATTTGTCTGATAGGAGTTTTGCTGTACATATTGATGAGTTCTCTTCTTCTGTTGTTCCATTGAACTGTGGTGTGCCTCAGGGATCCATCTTGGGGCCAGTTCTCTTTTCTTTGTATTTACTTCCCCTTGGATCGATTTTTATGAAATATGGGTTGTCTTTTCATTGTTATGCGGATGATATTCAAATTTATTTGCCATTGAACTTCCGGGTTTGCAGGCAAGAGCAGACGTTTTTACTGCTCCTCTTGTCTGTTCTATATTTCAAGTCTTTGAGCATACTTTACAACTGCTAAATGCCTCAAAGAGGGAAAAGAGCTAATAAACCAGAAGCGACGGAGGATATGGAGGCAGAAGAAATATGTCATAGATCGGCGCAAGTTAAAGATATCGTGGATCATGAGAAGCAGATGTTCTTTATGATGCTGAACCAACAGCAGGAGTGCTTCAAAGGCTTTGTGCAACTAATTATGGAGACAAACAACAGGAGATTCGACAAATTGACCAGAGAAATACAGGAGATAAAAACGAGTCTGCAGTTTACCCAGCAAGAGGTGGATGAGATAAAGACTGCCATGGGTGAACAGAAAAGACACGCCAAGGAAGCGAAAGAGGAGGTTTGCAGAACGTGTGAGAGTTTAATAACTATAACGGACAGAATGGAGCATCTGGAAGCACAGTCCAAGCGAAAAAACCTGATCTTTGAGGGAATCATGGAGACAACTGGAGAAAGCTGGTCGGAGGCAGAAGGTAAAGTGATGGAGATTCTGAAAAATAATCTGCAAATTCATCAAGAGATTGAGATGGAGCGGGCTCATAGAATCGGGAAACATACTGATCGTGGTCCGAGGGCGATATTGGTGAAGTTGATGAAAGACAAAGATAAGACACAAATATTGCATCAAGCGAAGAAGCTCAAAGGATCTAACATTTACATAAATGAAGATTACACCGAGTATGTGAGGATGAAAAGAAGGGAATTGATGCCGAAGTTAAAGGAGGCCAGGGCGAGGGGAGACATCGCGTTCGTGAGGTATGATCGACTAGTGACCAGACCTCGGAACCAGGACCCAGGTCCCAGGTCCAGCATGCCCAGGATGACAAGACAAGGATATGAAG